AATGAGTGTGCAAAGCATACACAAGGCATGTGCATGACCTGAGGCGTGCACGACATGTGCGCAAGATGTGCGGAGGTGGCTGCAAGATGTTTGTGACGCATGTGCAACACGTGTGCATGTCATGAGGCCATTGCAATTCATGTGCAAAGTGTGACACATGTGCAAGGATTGTGCAAAGCATGTTTGAATAATGTATGAGGCATGCACAAGGCATGTGTGAGGCATGTGCAAGGACTGACACGTGTGCAAGGCTAGTATGGTGTCTGACACGCATGTGCAAAATGTGTAGAAGGCACGTGGGGCATGTATGTTGTGTGGGTGAGGTATGTGCAAGCCGTGAGGCGAGTGCGACACACGTGGAATGCATGACACACGTTGAAGGCATGTGAAGAGATGTGTGTACAAAGCATGTAGGAGGCATGTATAAGACATGTAACACGTGTGAGAGGTCTCTGAGATGTGTGTGTGAGGTGTGAGGCACATGCAACACTTGTGCAAGGCCTGTGACATGTATGTGAGGTGCCCTGGATGTGTGTGCAAAGTGAAAGGTGGGCGTGAGCGACGTGTGGAGGTGTCTGCAATGCATGTGCAAAGCATACACGAAGCGTCTGCAATACCTGAAGCGTGTACAAAGTGTGTGCAAGGTGTGTGGAGATGTCTGCAAGGTGCATGCGAGGCACCTGTGACTTTTGTGAATGGCCTGAAACCTGTGGAATGCGTGTGCAAAGTGTGACACATGTGCAAAGAACGTGCAAAGTATGTTTGAAGGATGTGTGAGGCATGTACAAGGCACGTGTGACGCATATGCAAGGACGGACAGATGTGCAAGGCAAGTGTGGTGTCTGAGATGCATGTGCAAAGTGTGTAGGAGGCATTTGCAATGCCTGTAACGTGTGCAAGGTCTCTGAGATGCATGTGCAAGGTGTGAGGCACATGGAACCTGTTTGAGAGGCCTTAGACACATGCGTGATGTGCTTTGGATGTGTTTGCAAGGTGAAAGGTGCGTGTGACACGTGTGTGGAGGTGTCTGCAGTGTGTGAGCAAAGGATGTATGAGGTGTGTGCAAGCCCTGAGTCAAGTGCAACGTGAGTGCAAAGAATGTAGAGGTGTCACCAAGGTGTGTGCGAGGCATGTGCAACACATGCAACACGTGTGTATGGCATGAGGCCTGTGCACTGTGTTTCCAAAGTGTGACACAGGTCAAGGCAGGGGGAAACCACTTTTGAAGCATGTATGAGGCATGTACAAGGCATGTGTGGCATGTGTGGAAGGCCTGACACAAGTGCAAGGCACATGTGGTGTCTGACATGCATGTGCAAAGCATGTAAAAGGCATGTGAGGCGTGTACGAGGTGTGTGTGCCACATGTGCGAGCCGTGAGGTGTGTGCGAGACATGTGGAATGCATGACACATGTTGAAGGAATGTACAGTGTCTGAGATGCGTGTGCAAAGTGTGTAGGAGGCATGCGTAAGGCCTGTAACACGTGTGCGAGGTCTCGGAGAAGCATCTCCCAGGTGTGAGGCACATGAAGAAGAAGAAGAAAAAGAAGAAGAAAAAAAAGAAGAAAAAGGAGAAAAGAAAAAAGATGAAGAATAGAAAAAAGAGGAAGAAGAAAAGAAGGAAAGAAGAAAAGGAGAAGAAGAATTAAAGAAGAAAAAGAAGAAGAGAAGAAGAAGAGGAGAAGAAGAAGAGAAGAAGAAGAGGAGAAGAAGAGGAGAGGAAGAAAAGGAGGAGAAGAAGAGGAGAAGAAGAAGAAGAGGAGAAGAAGATGAGAAGAAGAAGAGGAAAGGAAGAAGAAGAAAAGAAGAAGAGGAAAAGAAGAAGAAAAGAAGAAAGAAAAGAATAAGAAGAAAAGAAAATAAGAAAAGAATGGAAGAAAAGAAGTAAAGAAAAGAAGAAAAGAAGAAGAAAAAAATAAATGAAGAGAAAAAGAGAAAAATAAAAGAAGAAAAAAGAAAAAAGAAAAGACAAGAAAAGAAAAAAGAAGAAAATAAGAAAAACAGAAAATAAAAAAGAAGAAAAGAGAAAAAAAAAAAGAAGACAAAAAGAAGAGGAAAAGAAAAAGAGGCCGAAAAGAAGAGAAGAAGAAGACAAGAAGAATAGAAGAAGAAGAGAAGAAGGGGAGAAGAATAGGAGAAGAAGAAGAGGAAAAGAAGAAGAGGAAAAGAAGAAGAAAAGCAATAGAAGAACAGTAATAGAAAAAAGTAACAGAAGAGTAGAAGAAAAGTAGAAGAAAAAATAGAAGAAAAGAAGAAAATATGAAGAAAAAGAAAACAAGAAAAGAAGAAAATAAAAGAAAAAACAAAAAGAAAACAAAAAAGAAGAAAAGAAAAAAGAAAGCAAGAAGAAAAGACAAAAAGAATAAGAAAAGAGAAAAGAGGAAAAGAGAAAAGAGGAAAAGAAAAAAGAAAAAAGTGAAAAAATAAAAGACAACAAAAGAAAAGAAAAAAGAAGAAAAGAAAAAAGAGGAAAAGAAAAAAAAGAGGAAGAAGAAAAGAAGAAGAAGATGAAAAGTAGAAGAAGAGGCCAAAAAGAAGAAGAGAAGTAGAGAAAAAGAAGAGAAGAAAAAGAAAATAATAAAAAAGGAGAAGAAAAGCAGGAGAGGAAAAGTAGAAGAAAAGAAGGAGAAGAAGAAGAAAAGAAGAAGAAGACAAGAAGAGGAGAAGAATACAAGAAGAAGAGAAGATGATAAGATGATGAAGACAAAAAAGAAAAAAAAGAAGATGAAGAGAAGATGAAGAAGACAGAACATGACAAGAAAAAAGAAGAAGAAGAAAAGAACAAGAAGAAAAGAACAAGAAGAGAAGAAGAGATGAAGAGAAGAGGACAAGAAGACAAGAGACGACAAGAAGACAACAAGAAGACTAAAAATAAAAATGAAGATGAAAAAGAAAAAAAGAAGACAATTAAAAGAAGACAAAGAGAACACAAAGAGAAGAAGATGAAGAGAAGAAGAAAGAGGAAAGGAGAAAAGAAGGAGAAGAAAATAAGTAGAAGAAAAGAAGGAGAAGAAGAAAAGGAGAAGAAGAAAGAAGAAGATGAAGAAGAAGAAGAAGATGAAGAGAAGAACAGAAGAAGAAGAGGAGGAAGAAGAGAAGATGAAGAAAATTAAGAAGATGAAGAGAACAAGAAGAGAAGAAGAAAAGAAGAGAAGAAGAAAAGAGAAGAAAAGAGAAGAAAAGAAGAAAAGAAGAAAAGAAGAAAAGAAGAAAAGAAGAAAAGAAGAAAAGAAAAGAAAAGAAAAGAAAAGAAGAAAAGTAGAATAAAAGAAGAAGAGAAGAAGAAGAAATTAAAAAGAAGATAAGAAGAAATGAAAAAGGAGAAAATAAGAAGGAAAGAAGTAGCTGAAAAAAGAATAAAAGAAGAAAAGAAGAAGAAAAAAGAAGAGAAAAAGAAGAAGAAAAGAAGATAAGAGGAAGAATACAAGAAGAAGAGAAGAAGAAGAAAAGATGAAAAGACGATGAAGAAAAAAAAATGACGAAGAGAAAAAGAAGACTAAGACGAAAAGAAGATGACAAAAAATACGAAAACGAAAAAAAGAAGATGAAGAGAAGATGGCGAAGAGAAGACGGAGAGACGACGACGGAGAGAAGACGACAGAGAAAAGTAGGAGAAAAGAAGGAGAAGAAAAAAAGGAGAAAAAAGGAGAACAACAAGAAAAGAAGAACATGAAAAAAGAACAAGAAGAGAAGAAGAGAAGAAGAGAAGAAGAGAAGAAAAAAAAGAAGAGAAGAAGAAGAAGAAGAGAAGAGGAAGAAGGAGAAAGGAGGAAAAGAAGAGGAAAAGAAGAAGAAAAAAGATGAAGAAAAGAAGAATAAAAGAAGAAAAGATGAAGAAGAAAAGAAGAAAATATGAAGAACAAAAGAAGAAAAGAAGAATAAGAAGGAAAGAAAAAAGAAGGAAAGAAGAAGGAAAGAAGAGGAAGAAAAGAAGAAGAAAAGAAGAAGAAAAGAAAAGAAAAGAAGAGGAAGAGGAAAATAAGAAGTATTGTCACATGCAGCATTGTCACTGTGTTTTCTCACAGCATTGTCACTGTATTGTGACACAGCATTGTCACTGTATTGTCACACAGCATTGTCACTCTATTGTCACACACTGAATTGTCACTGTATTGTGACAGGAAGCATTGTCACTGTATTGTCACACACAGCATTGTCACTGTATCGTCACATTGCATTGTCACTCTACTGTCACATGCAGCATTGTCACTGTATTGTCACACGCAGTATTGTCGCTGTGTTGTCACACTCAGCGTTGTCACACTCAGCATTTTCACTATATTGTCACATGCAGCATTGTCACTGTATTGTGACACGAAGCATTGTCACTGTATTGTCACACACAGCATTGTCAATGTGTTGTCACGCAGCATTGTCACTGTATTGTCACAAACCATTGTCACTGTACTGTCACACACAGAATTGTCACTGTATTGTGACATGAAGCATTGTCAATGTATTGTCACACACAGCATTGTCACTGTGTCGTCACACGCAGCATTGTCACTGTATTGTCACAAAGCATCATCACTGTACTGTCACACAGAGCATTGTCGTGCACAGCATTGTCACTGTATTGTCACACGCAGTATTGTCGCTGTGTTGTCACACTCAGCGTTGTCACACTCAGCATTGTCACTGTGTTGTCACACACAGCATTGTCACTGTATTGTGACACGAAGCATTGTCACTGTATTGTCACACACAGCATTGTCAATGTGTTGTCACGCAGCATTGTCACTGTATTGTCACAAACCATTGTCACTGTGTTGTCACACACAGAATTGTCACTGTATTGTGACATGAAGCATTGTCACTGTATTGTCACACACAGCATTGTCACTGTATTGTCACACGAAGCATTGTCACTGCATGGAGGTTTCTGCAGGAACAGTCAGAACAGTGACGTTGCTGCGGCAGGAAGCTCGCCAGCACTGGCAGGGTGATCTGCCCTTTGGAGCTGAGGGTTTGACTTCATCCTTTCGCTGCATTCTCATGTGAATGCGAGCAAGTCAGCCCTCCTGTGCTTCAGTTCTTCCCATTGTAGGATGTGGATATGAGCATCAGGAGTCATGCAAGAAACAGGCTGAGAAACACGGGGTGCCCCGATACTTTGCTGAATGATGTTTAAGTGCAACAGGCAGTAATAGGCAGTGGTACAAGGCTCTTACATTCCCAGTACGCAGAGTATGCTGTCTGCTTTTGTGTGTGGTTAATACCTGCAGGGATTTATTGAAGTCACAGTAATTTCACCCGGTATGTGTGGGGCAAAGGTTACCCGTCAAGTTTAATTGTGATAAATGAACATTGTTTCAGTGAAATGGACTATTACGCTGGTTAGCGGGTTTCACTGACAAGCCCAGAAGGAATGTTTTTAGGACAACTTGTAACGATCAAAAGGATTTCTCCAGTGTCTTGGCCAAATGTGAACTCAGACTCTAATTTCAGAAGATGCCATTATACACCTGTCGCTTGATTTCCCACTGTTGCTTTTTGTGTTGGGGAGCTTTATATTTGGCAGCCTTCCTGAACGTACTGTGCCACCACTCTATGAATGTGTCCACATGCTCTGTTTTTTAAATAGAGCTTTTCAGATAGCTGTTGTCATCGCTGGTGTTTGCAGCGGAACACAGATACCCAGGCCCTGCTGTGGTCAATGTAACACAGGCACAGCCTGTGTCTGTCCCACCTTCAGTTATCATCTCAGCAGACACAGTAACTTCCCTGCATCTCTCAGCATAGAGGGACTTTGTGTGGTAGGAGGGTTTAATTCTTTGATCTGTGGTCCTTTTCCTTAGAACCTCTGAATCATACTTTTTATTAATCCCATCTCATCGTGAATGATAAAGCTGTATTCTGTGTTGTGATTTCAAAGATTCACAGCAACCAGCACTGGAAGGAACTGCAAGAGTTCCTCTAGTCTTTGCACTGATGGAGTGCAGGGCCACCTAAATCTATTGTCCTTCATACCCAAAAAGAATAGAGGAACTTTTTTGGAAAGTATACACATAGATCTTTAGATCTGTAATTGCAAACTTCATCAAGTTATTCTATTCTTAGACGACTGCAGCTACATTATTGTGATGTTAGTTATGGCAGAAGATCCTGAAGGCCTCTTAGGTCTGGAGATGCCCAAAACAATCTCTTCCATTGCTTATCCTGAACACTCAGCAGAACTTAGCTCTTGTAGATATTGTAACTGTTGTTACATCCTCGATCTTTGCCAGCAGGTGCCCACAGCTTCTTTTGTGCGATTAAGAGAGGCAGGTGATACATTTTGTGTATCACTCACTTTAATGGACACTGATGAATACTTATAGTGGTAACTGTAGAAAGATGTTTAATACAAGAAGAAAAAACCTCAGCGTAAATCATTGTAGCTTTGCTGGTTTGAGGTGGTCGTGTTCTCTTAGGTCGGCTGGGAATCTGGGCTTGTGTGCGTGACTACTTCATATGTTTCTGGGTGTTTCTGTTTTAACACAGTATTGGTCTACAAGAGAATCTGCTCATAAGAGATTAATTTCTTTCTGTCTTTGCTAAGAGACCTTTATAAAGCTTTCTTTAAATCAGCTTCTTACGCTTATGTCATCGAGTCCTCCAGAGGGCTTCAACAGATGGATTACGAAGAGCACCTTCAACAAAAGCTGTGCTTCATAATATCAGTTCTATCAATTCATCTACTAATGCTCCTGTGCTTCAGGTATTTGACCAAAAATGCCTACTACATGAGTCAGGACTGCTGCAGACCTGCCACTTTTATCTCATTCCGGAGGCTGAATCTTCAATTCTTCTCTACCATGGCTGGCTTAATCCACAGGTTACATAGCACCATAGGTAGGCCTGCTGTCCCATTCATGCTCCATTTGCATGGGGAGGTAGATCTTTCTGCTTCTGGTGACTTCCCCCTATACTTGCTATCTCTTTGTTATGAGAGGTCTTCTGCGGCTCCCCGCATTTGACAGATAGTCAGGGTGTATTTGGACTGACTTTAGGAGTAAAGGTAGCTTAAGTTGGTCCCCTTCTTCCTGCTTCTAGGAATCCTCCACATGCATGTGCCATACTCCACCACTCTCAAATTCTGTCAACAAATCTGGTTGTCTGAGCAGCCTGGAAACCAATCCTGGCTAAAAATAAAGCCTAAAAAGAAAAAAAAAAAAAGAAAAATGAAAAAAGAAAAAAAAAAAGAAAAGGAGTTATTTAAAAACCTGAATGAGTTTGT